ATGCCGACGCTGCGAGCTTTCGCTCAGCGGCATGCCCAGGAGGACGAGAGCAGGAGGAGGGCGCGAGGCAGAGGGGAGCCGCGAGCGGTGCTCTGCCAGACAGCCCCGCGCGAGCGAGGAGCTGCGCCTCCGCTACGGCCGCGGCAGCGAGCAGGCGGCGCCCCCCCGGAGCCTCGTTGCCGCGCCATGCAGCGCACGATTGCGAACACATTGCCGCATGAGCCGCTGCAGGCGTGCATGCACGTATGTTGGTTGCGCCATCCGTAGCCGCCGAAGCTCGAATCGTGAAGTAACGCACCACTTTCTGGAGCAAGGCAGGGGACACATTGCGCAATCACCGATTGAGAGTTCTTCGGTTTCATCGGAACGCTCTCCTTGCCCTTCCTATCCTCAGCCGGATCTTCCATCTGCTCGTCCTGCTCCTTATCTCCGAAGGGGGGATGCGATCGACGACGATCGGCGTCTGGGTGCCAGCTGCCAGTGCCCTTCAGTGGGACCACGTGTTGGTTGCCCTCCTGGGGCAAGGTGGCTGTCAGTGCCCGACGCGAGAAGTGATTGGTGTCACGAGTAGGACGAGGAGTGGCGGGAGGAGTAGATGGAGGAGGAGAAGGACGAGGAGGAGGAGGAGGGGCAGGAGGAGGGGAGTATGTTGGAGGAGGAGACGGATAGCACGACGCAGGTTTCTGGGAGCAGAGGGAAGAAGAGGACGTGGAGGAGGATGGATGAAGCGGATGAGGACGAGGAGGGTGGGGAGGAGACGTACAAGAAGGAGGATCACAAGGAGGATGAGGAGGCGCAGGGTGAGGTGGGTTGTATACATATGTATATATATATATACACACATATATACACTGCCCCGCCAGGGGTCCGATCTCAGGGCTTCCCAGAGGTCAAGACGAGCGTGCCAAGCTCGACGGGCGCGCGGGCTGCAGCACAGACTGAGGCAGCCGCACCCCCTGCACCAGCCCCGCGGCCGCCAGCACGCGCTGCGCTCGAGCGACTGCGCTGGAGGCCCGAGCGCCCGCCAGCAGCCCCCCAACGGGGGCCAGCCGACCGCCTGAGGGCGGGCGGCAGGGGGGCCCCCTCCGCTCCCTGTGCCCGGGCACCAGCAGTGTGCCGCCGCACTCCCCGCGAGCGGGCGCAGCACTGCCCCTCGGAGCTCGCGGCCTCGCGCTGCTGCCCCGGCTTGCGGTGGAGGCCGGCGCCGGCTCCGACGGCCAGCTGCGCCACCACCAGCTTCTCGGTGGTACGGGAAGAGTGGGGACGAAGACTAGCAGCACCTCCGGCCCGCTCGAGACTGGAGTCGCTGTGTGAGTCACCGCGGGCGTTGTCCAGTTGAGACGCGAGCTCCCCTGCCCATTCAGCGGCCGCTGCCGGTTCTGGACCACCACGTGCAGCACGACGGGTACCATGCACAGCACGGCGGATACCACGGGGAGCACCTGGATACCACTCCCCCTGCCATCACCCCCACCACCCGCAACACCACCACAACCACGACCATCAGCACCACGAACACGACTCCGACCCCGCACGGGCGTGGCTCTTAGTCCGACTGTCGCCGCTGGCTCCTTCGCGCCTACTGCTCCGGCGGCCGACGCTGGACTCCGACCTCTGCTTCAACTCGTCGCCTGGCGCATGCTCCGGCTTCGGCCCCACGACGTCGACTGCGTCTCCCGGCTCCGACCCCAGCTCAGAATTCAGTGCAAGACCTCTGCGTGGGACGCTTCGCAGCCAGGTTCCTGGACAGACCGCTACCACGGTGCCCTTCGCCAGGGGCCTTTCGGCTTCCACCCACACCTGGGATTGCTACTGGCACTTGTGCTACATCTACTTGTACCTCTTCCTGACCGTCAACTAGTGAGCCCCCGCGTCACCCGCGTCACCTATGTGCCCTCCACTTCCTCCTGCCTCTCCTCCCCAGCCTCCGCCTCCTCCGCTGATACGCTGAGTTATGAGCCGCTGATGGGTCCCCGCTACGTTCTCCTGCGGGGCAGGTGATCCGGGCTCCTACGTAACACCGCCACAGTGTTTCATTTGTTTGGCCTGCGGTTTCTTGGTCTCCCGTCCCCCTGCTGCTTTGCTTGCCGTGCTCTCCTTCCTTCCTGCTCTGCCGCCTCCTCTCTCTCTCTCTCTCTCTATCTGTCTCTCTCTCTCTCTCTCTCGCTGTCCTGCCTTTCTCGCTGCTGATCTCGCCTCTTCCTCGATCCTCTCTGCCTCATGCTTCCCTCTTCCTTTTTGTGGTGCAGTTGTCCATGTGTTCCGTTGGCTGTGCGACACCCCTTTCGTATATCGAGCTGTGCAGTCCCATACACTAGGATGTCCACCACGCGTGCACTCCGAGTTCCTAGCGCCACGTGGTGATAGCCAGCACGATGCAACACACTGGAAGCAACTACCAAGCAACAGCTGGTTCACTATGCGGAGAAATAACATGTGCTGTTGGGCATCGTACCCTGCTCTGCCCGAGCCCAGTGCGTGCGTGCCAAGCTTCCGACCAAGCCTTTGGGAGGCGTGTTGTTGCCGCACCTGCAGCTCTGCCCCACAAGGGGCGGCGACAAAGAGATTCTGTTCGGTTCGTTGCGTGTCAGCATGACGGGAGCGGACACAGACTATTCTACTCTACGCTCGCCCGCCCGCCCGCGCGCCCGCCCGCCACCGCGCCCGCCCGCCCGCATCGCCGGCCCGCCCGCCCGCCCGCCCGCGCGCTCGCGCTCTCGCGCGCCCGCCAACCCACCATCCGCGAGCTCGCGCATTCGCGCGCTCGCCCGCCCGCTCGCGCGCTCGCCCGCTCGCGCGCTCGCTCGCCCGCGCGCCCGCGCGCCCGCGCGCTCGCGCGCCCGCCCGCCCGCACCCCCGCCCGCTCGCAGGGGCGCCCGCCCTCTCGCCCGCCCGCGTGCCCCCCACCGGCCGCACGCGCTCCCGCGCGACTGCCCGCTCGCGAGCTCGACTGCGCGCTTGCACGCACGCCCGCTTGACTGCCTCGGTCCCCTCCTCCTCCTCTTCCACCTCCTCCTCCTTTTCCTTTTCTGTTTCCTCCTCCTCCTCCTCCTCCCTCCTTCTCTCTCCCTCCTTCTCTTTCCCTCTCTCCCTCCTTCTCTCCCCCGCTCGCTCCGAAAACTTGGGGCGGCGGGTTTCTGCACGGTCGTCGGTTTCTGGGGCCCCTCGACGAAACGACTCAGGACGAAAAACCAGCTCTGGGGTTATGTCGGGCCTGTCCCTCTACAGGAAGAAAATTCAAAAATAGTCCAAACATAGTCTGGGGACTATATTTCTTAACTTGTTTCATTTGTCCTCGAAAATCCCCCTGTAGGGTGACAGGCCCGACTTAAGCCTAGGGAAGTGGTCCAGGCTTCTGGGGCCCCCTCATCGGAAAAATTGGAGCAGCCGGATGTGTGGGACCCGCACGCCCGAGACCCCGCGGGCAACGCCATCGGAGAGTGAGAATGCTACGAAGCCTTAGGCCTGAGCCCGAAGGCGCTTCGGCGAAAATAGTCATCCACGCATACACAGTTCTGATCGGCGATGTGTTCTGAAGTGTTGGGGCCCAGCGTCTACAATACAGAATTGCAATTCCGGAGGGGGAGGAGAAGGCTGTGTGCAGGGGGGCGGTGGCCATCCCGCTCAAGCGGCGCACTGGCGGTGCGGTCCTCCGCCGCCGCCGCCCGCGCCGCCCCATTCCCCACCGTCCCTCGTCTGTCCCCCGCCCTCCCTCCTCCCTGCTCCCTGCTCCGTCGCCTCTCGTCCCTCGTATAGGCGGCGTGCCCTGGGGGGAAGCGAGAGAGGGCATGCCTTCTCAGAAGCCCCCCGGCCCGCTGAGCAGCCCTCTTTGTGGGGCTTCGGAGAAGGCTTGTAGCACACCTCATCAGAAGGCTGAGGGGGGGACTGAGCCTTCTGAGAACCGTAGACACGCTGACGGCGATGTAGGTCATGGCGATGTAGGTTTCGGTGTGTTGTGGGAGCGCGTGGCTCGTGCATCCCTACACTTCGCTGTGCCGTTTCCGTCCGACGCGCTCGCACGCTGGAGCTGTAGGAAAGTGTGGCTCGTGATCTTCGGCGGTTCAGCTACCAAAGCACCACCGTTGAGCAACATCGCCGTCAGCGCGGCGAGAAGGAGGCCGAGTAGGGCGAGGATGGGGGAGTCGAGGAGGAGGAGGAGGAGGAGGAGGAGGAGGAGGAGGAGGAGGAGCAGGAGCAGGAGCAGGAGCAGGAGCAGGAGCAGGAGGGAGGAGGAGGAGGAGGAGGAGAGGAGGAGGGAGGAGGGAGGAGGAGGGGAGGAGGGGAGGGGCAGAGGAGGAGAGAGGAGGGAGGAGGAGGGAGGGAGGCCCACCACCGGCGAAAGGGGCCCGCCCCCAACCTGACGGTACCCCCCCTGTGGGCGCGCCGCCGAGCGTGCTCCTCGCCCCGCCTCTGCCCCTCTCTCGCCCTGTCCTCCGGCCCCCGGCCCCTGGCCTCCGATCTCCCGGAGATCCTCCTCCTCCTCTCCCCCCCCTCCTCCTCTCCTCCTCCTCCTCCTCCTCCTCCTCCCTCCTCCTCTCCTCCTCCCTCCTCCTCCTCTCCCTCCTCCTCCTCCTCTCCTCTCCTCCTCCTCATTCGGGGCAGCGACGAGGGGGGGGATGGGCACAGGGGGGGACGCATCGACCCCCGATCGCCCAAGGATCGCCGATGGGGGGCCCGATAGCCCCAACCTGCCCAGGGAGGCGCGGCTTCATGATCGGAGGCCTATCGCCGATCTATGGGCGATGTATCGCCGACTCCAGGTCGATGCATCCCCCCTATACCAGTCCCCCCCCTATCGTTGCCCCTCGAACATCGTGAAAAATTCGACCAGCGCACCAGACCCCGCCTTCTCTGCTTCATTTTTCGCGCCGCATCGATCTGGGAGGGTCCTCTGGCCCGAAGCCATGCGAGAGCGCCTGGTCGAGAGAGTTGAGGCGCCAGGGCCCCAGGGTCGTCCGCAGTTCCCCTCAGGAGGGGAAGTGATACAAACAAATACACGCTGGTGTTCACGAAGATACTGGAAGTAGCTAGTCACACGGCATGAAATGGAGGGGAAGAGTAACCTCCAGGAAAGATGGTAACATATTGAAAATCCTAGGACGTGTGTCGGTTTGTTTGAGTGTCCCTGGGCCTCTTTCTTCCTCCCTCTCTCCACCCCCCCTCTGCCAGGTCCTGTGCAGCACGTTCCAGGTGAAGCATTCCTGGATGATGTGCCCCGGGGGGGGGGGCGCGGCCTTCAGAGTGAGAGGGGGGGTGGCTACGGGCAATGAGGGGTGGGAGGAGGGGGAGGCGACGGAGATGAGGAGGAGGAGGAGGAGGAGGAGGAGGAGGAGGAGGAGGAAGAGGAGGAGGAAAGGGAGAGGCGGAGGAGGGGAGGAGGAGGAGGAGGAGGAGGAGGAGAGCAGGCAGCAAGAGGGGAGGCACGAGGATGATGAGGATGATGATGAGGAGGAGAGAGGAGGAGAGGAGGAGGAGGAGGAGGAGGAGGAGGAGGAGCGGGAGGAGGCGGGAGGAGGAGGAGGGAGGAGGAGTGGAAAGAAAGAGGAGGAGGAGGAGGAGGAGGAGGAGGAGGAATAGGAATAGCAATTAGGTGGTGTCTATGGAGGAGGAGGAGGAGGAGGAGGAGGAGGAGGAAGAGGAATACTACTAATGCTAATGCTATTAATAATAATGATAAGAAGAAGAATGCTAATACTAGGAATACTAATAACAATAAGAAGAAGAAGAGGAGGAGCAGGAGGAGGAGGAGGAGGAGGAGGGGGAGGAGGGAGGAGGAGGAAGGGAGGAGGAGGAGGAGGAGGAGGAGGAGGAGGAGGAGGAGCAGGAGCAGGAGCAGGAGGGAGGAGGAGGGAGAGGTGGGAAAGGAGAGGGATGAGGAGGAGGAGCAGGAGGCGGAGGAGGAGGAGGAGGCGGAGGAGGAACTCTTTGAATCCTTTGTTAGCGGACTGCGTCCTGGGGGGAGATTTTAGTCACTGGATCCACTCCTTTCCTCGTCAGGACGAGCTCCCTGGAACTGGCCAGGCCTGGAGGGAGCCGCGCGGCGACACCCCGCTCCCGTCGGGGCTTCCGGTGGCCCAGCCACCTGGCCGGACCCGACACCAGGGACGCGCGAGGGTGGAGTTCTCTCTCTCTCTCTCTCTCTCTCTCTCGGGTCCACAGTTGCACTACACGCTGCCCCATCGCGGGCAGTCATGATCGCTCCAAAAGCCTTGGGGGGGGGGGGCTTCACGCCGAGGGAGCAAGCCTTGTGCTGAGCCTCGCCAGGCTCTCCATGGGTTCTTTCCCTTACGCTTGGGAGCTGAAATTCCTGGGGTCGGGCGTCGCGTACAGGCCGCAACTCGAAGAACAAACGTACAAGAGCCGTTCCCTGATAGTCTGTATATATCTATATATATATATATATTAAGAAATAAAACGTGCAAGACCCGTTTTCCTAAATACGGAATCGTGTGCGGGGAGACGCTCGCACACTCCCTGTCCTCTGACGGCTGGGGCGCTGCGCCCGCCAAGTGCCGCGGCGGGCCCCCTCTGCTCTTCCGCTGGGGGTCCCCGGCAGCTTCCCACGGCGAATTCCCGAGGCCTGCCTCCGGGAGTCACCTTCGCGCACACGGTGCCCCGCCAACATTCTCCTGCAAAGAGCTGCAAGGCTCGAGAGAGTGGCTGGACGCAGCTGCGAGGGTGACGTGCCTCGGCAAGTCTCTTGGCCACTCTCGGGGACCGGTCAGCCCGAGCTTTCTTCTCTGCCTCCGCCGCTGCCGCCCATGCTCGTCCGGCTCGGCGGCGAATGAGCGAAGCTGTGACATCTATGCGATCCGTCTCGAGTTCCCGACCCACCACACCTCCCCACGCCAACTCCGCCGCCTCCCCCGCCCACGAAGCAGCACAGGCGTTGCCAGAAGCGAAATGAAGTTTCTCTCTCGCGCGCCTAGCTTCTCAGGATATTCCTCTTGGTGAGACGGAAACCAAAACACACGAGCGATATCCAAGGTTCTGTCTTGGAAGCCCCTGCGTGCTGTGGTTCAAAGGTCTTCGTTGACCCCACCGGGGGTCGGGCGAACGGATTCTAGACTCCCAGGACATGGCGAGCTTTTCGTGCTCAGTCAAGAACATAAAAAACAGTTAACAAAAGACACTCACTCAAAACCACTTTTCCCCGAAAACTAAAACCAAAACCACCTCCAACGACAGACAGAAAGCTCAAACTTCAGCGCCGGGGACCGCTTGGACCTCGCCCAAAAAGCGGGCATCCTCGGGCTTCTCCCCAGAAGTCCATTGGCGGCGAGCAGAAGGGGGTAGGGAGAGGGGGGGAGGCTTCTTAGAAGGAGGCTGCTTCTTAGAAGGCCCTGGCCTTACATCTACAGAGAAGGCCCGCACCTTCTAAGGAGCAGGGGTGCTTCTAAGAAGCCTTCCCCCCTCCCCCATACCCCCCTCTGCGCGCCGCCGAGTCCAGGCACGTCCAGGGCCCCAGGTGAGGCCCAAGGTGAGTCCAGGGAGGAGGAGCAGGAGGAGGAGGAGGAGGAGGAGGAGGAGGAGGAGCCTCCAGGGCCCAAGGTGAGGCCCACGGTCGCCGCTCCGCAGCGCCGTCTCCCGCGGTCGCCCGGAGACATCGCTCCCCCGAGCTGCCTCCAAGAAAGCGTACGCCCGCGCTGCCCCAGTGCAGCTGGCGAGGCCACTCGAGTGATGTTGCCAGCTGGGGGTGCCGATGCGCAGCTGCTCGTCAAACTCGGGCACCGTCTGGCTAGTCGACGTCGGCTGCGCGCAGAGGGGGGTGGGGGGGGGGGGGGGGGGCTTCTTAGAAGCACCCTGCTTCTTTGAAGGCGCGGGCTTATCTATAGATAGATGTAAGGCCGGCTTTTTTTTTTTTAAGACGCAGCCTGCTTCTAAGAAGCCCTCCCCCCTCCCCTCACCCCCTTGTGCGCGCCGCCAACGACGGCAGCCCCCTCAGCCAGAACGCGGGGGCCGTCTCGTGCTGGCCCGCCGCCTGAGCCACGAGCCCATCTGTTTTCTCGAAGTCCTCGTGGCCTGTGTTCTTCTCACGCTCCCGGGTGCGGTGGTACAGCGGGTCCCCTTTGAGCTTGAAGCGCTGACAGCGCGTCGAATGTACAAGATATCCAGCACGTTGCCTTCTGGTCCTTGTCCATTGACCACCTGATGTGACGAGGAGGTTGAGCGCCGCAAGGTCCGACGCCCCTTCCTCGTGAAACTTGTTTTGCTTTCTCCCTATCCTCCAGACATCGGCGCCTTCCCGGATGCCCTCGCCGTCCTCGTGCTTAGCGACCTTGCGCCAGTAGATCCTGCGCACGTTGGCAACCGGGTCGCCGAGGATGGCCAAGCGCTCCAAGTCCTGGGTGTAATCTTCGTCCGTGTTGCTGGATGTCAACCGCGCCTGAAACTGTCCATCAGGCAGAGGCATCTCTCAGTCCGTCGCGCTGATGGGCCGCCAACCTACGTCCACGGGCGTGGCCTGGAGTGTGGCGATGGGGCCCTCGACAGAGGCCCACGTTCACCACCCAGCTCTGGGTGATTTCGGCCTGACCTTGGCACAGGCCAATGTCAATCTTACATGCAACTAGGGGTTCTGCTGCCGCAGCGCCAGCCACTCCGACACCACCCTCCGACGCATCTCCAGGCCTGGCTCCGTGCCCCACATCTCTGTGGCGAGGGTCGTGGCGAGGCACTTCCCACCTTGCGAACCAGCAGCCGCCTGCCCTGCTTGCCGTCGCAGTCGAACTAACTCCGCGGAAGAGAGCCCGAAAGCTTGGTGGCCGTTGCTCGCCTGCGGAAGGCTCCAGTGGCCCAGAGGCCCCCGGCCTCCTTGGCCAGGGTGGTGGAGCGCCTCATCCTCTTGATATTGCCGAACCGTTGCTTGGCCTTCTGGGTGCGCTGCTTGAGCGTGCAAAGTGTTATCCTCCTTCCTGCGCCTGCGTCCAGGCCCAAGCCCTTGCCAAGGTTGACTGTTTTGGCAGGCATGCCCCCGCCGCGCAGAATCTTCGCCGCCTCCTCGACCGCGCCCCTGGACGTGCCGACGAGCACCGTCTTTTCTGAGATCTTCAGTGGGCTCGAGCCAGCTCCATCGCTACTTTGACCGTCTGCCCGGTAGATGCCTCCGCGCCCTCAGTCCTGGCCACAGCGTCGTCGACGAATGCCCATGATCCTGAAGTCCGGGATGCCAGATGCGCTCTCTACAGGATGGGGTGTAGAAGTATTTCAGCGGGGCTGACGCCTCTGGGTGAGCCAGCTACTATGGAGCGCGCCACCCAGATGGACTGGCCCAATGCCGCCTTATCCTTGAGGAAACGCGGCGCCGCGAACATCGGCACCTCCATCTCCACGGGGGGCCGACATTGTCGCGCCATTTCTCGATATATCTTTGAGGAGGGCGAGGTTCGCGATGCCGAGCGCGAACTTTGCCTCGTCTAGACATGAACGTACCAGCCCCGCCCTCGACGCCGAGTTGCCTCTGACAGCCGTGCCCCAGCGGGCGCTGAGGCAGTCGCCCCACCCGCTGCACGGGAGCGCCTTTGCCTTGCCCCATTGCTTGACAGGAAGCGGCAGAATGCAGAGAACCATCTCGTCCCCAGACGGCTCGGGCACAACCGCTCCCAAGGTCGCCGTTCACTGCCGAGGCCACGTGCCCGCCTGCTCGAACACGTTGAGACGGTCGACGAGCTGCTGCCTCGCCACCAGGGGGCAGCCTCTTGTTGTCGTCGAGCTCGAGGCCGTCAACCCCCCCAGCCTCGTCGGGCTTCGCGGCGGCCGCCGTCGCACCCACCCCCTCGATCGCAGTTGATGGCAACGCCTCTTCTCGTGCCCGTCGGCGCACGATGCGCAACTCAGCCGCGATGTCCCCCCTGCTGCCAATCTCGTCGGTCCATGTATTATTCTATCTAGCCGCGTTCGTTTGCATGAGGATGTCGGGGTCCGGTGAGCCCGCGCCATGGTGGAACTGCTTCATGACAGGCCGCATTGGCTCCATGACACGTCTGCGAAGAGCTCGCGGCGATCCGCCCCACATGCGCTTGGCCCACTCGGCGAACCGCTTCCTCTGCAAAGCGAGCCCTCGAGGCACCGCTGTGGCCAGGTGGTGGTCCGCCTCCTGCTCGATCTGATTAGGCTCTCCCTTTTATGAGCTTCTTGACGCATTGTAGCTGCAGCGCGTGTCCGTCCACCCCCTCGCGGTCGAGAGTCTCGCCGACAATTCGTTCGACCC